CCCAATATAATTCTAGTCTTGTTTGTTATAGTCTTATAGACTCAAGTTTTTAATAATTTTAGGCACGACTTATTCAAGATACTGTGTTTCTCAATTACAATTACTTGTTAAAAGGGAACATGCTTTGATTCTCCTTTTTCCTAGTTAGAAATACCCTTTGATTCCAAGTATGAATAAAATGTAAGTAGGGGTTTGTGTGCTTATTTAATTTTGTGGTTGAACTTAGGTCGAATCTTAGATTGTTTACTTATCTCTTCTAAGTTTGAGGGATCAAACCACTTGTACTTCTTGAATGTTTAATTTGGGATTTTCAGTGAATAAGTGGTCCACTACAAAGAAGAAATTTGTGGAGAATTTATTTAGATGGGTATTTGGATGAATTTGGTTAAATAAACCAAGAATTCAATTTGTTATTGTGAGTGCATCTAGATTGAGTCTTTAGGTTGCCTACATGCCCTTTGCTGGGCCGAACCTTCGTTAACTTGAAATTTGTTTGGGATTCATCTGAAAGGGTTTTTTTTTTTTTTTTTTTTTAATTTTAATTTTATTTAAATTTAGGCCCTATCAAAGGTATGATATCAATTTTATTAGCCACCCATATCATAGGTGTGATATCAATTTGCTATCTTCTGAACAAGATGTGTGTGATACATCATCAACTATATAAAAATTAAATGTAAGGAATGCTTTACTTGATGTCGAGACCCACACCGCAAAAGAGATCTAAGTTGGAAATGTTGGAGTATAGCAAATGATGTGGCAACACGTCCATGGTTATTCGTGGCAATCAAATATCGAGTCATTTATGACAAGGGCAAGTGAGAACATCCATTAATTCAGCACATGACCTAATAACGGATTAAGAAGGTTCATTCTTGATTAGGGTGAGTTAGAGGAATACCTTCAGTTGTAGGGATGGGATAGGACAAAAGTTTCAATCCTAAGATACGTAACCTGTGAATCTTAAGTCCTAAATTATGTTCCTAGCCATATGATGACCAAACGGCAAACTGAACATCCGCAAAGGCCGGTTTATACCGTATTCAATAGTATGCGTCAGACTAAGCATGTAGCTAGTGATCACATAGAATCAGTGTCTGAAATATCCTGGAGACGCTCGATACTTCCACGGAAGTATCCAAAAATTCAAGGAATGATATGGAAAGGGGGTGTGAAATCTAAACTTCACCCATATCCGCGATATTTCTGAAAATCAGTCAATTTCCTCGATATTTTAAGGAAATATCCAGGGTCTGCAGACAATTTGCAAAAAGTTGCAGGAAATATCCATGGACCTATGCATTCTTTATTTTTTTAGTTTCTTTCTTTATGGTATTAGTTTACTTCAATAAAACTTGTGTTGCTTTCGTGACGAAAATTTCAATTAAGTTATGTATAATTTATTCTTTTTAGTGAAATGCTTTATTTTAGTACTTGTCATTAAAAGGAAGTTTTTCTTCTCACATATCAGATATTGTTTACACAATATCTAATAATTAATTCTTGATTCATACATATGTTGTGGCTTCATATGACATTCCCTAAAAAATAATTTTAAATTAATTTTCATGTTTTTGAGCAAATTTTCATCATTTCTATTGAAGGCAATCGATATCGATATCAATATTTGACATATCCATTGATATTTCCACAAATTTGCCTATCGATATTTCCACCGATATCGATCTTTTAAACACTACCTAGAATAGATATAAAGGTGCTTATCTATGGGATCGAGTTCACTAAACGTTGACCAACCATAGAAGTGTCATAATAGAAGATTACCTACTTGTCAATTGTACCACACTTCAAAGTTATGAATGTAACTAGTTCTTTGGCATAAGATATAATTGGCTGTCTCATATTAATGAATATGATCTTTGGCCTCACTACAAAGCCCTCAAATGATAATAGAGCCTTATATTGTGAGGTTCAGTATCATGTACATTAATATGGAGATACGTGAATGCACAATAAGGAATATGTCACCTTCTAAGTAATCATGAAGGTAGATATTCATGTAGCCCCTTGACAATTTCAAAAGTCTTTGACCAAAGCAACGGACAAGAAATACACCAGGGTGATCATATCCATATGTAGAATTTGACAAATGTACCATGCTCTAAAGTATATGATCAAAATATAGTAGACAGAAGAACTGAATAGCATTGTAACCATAACTAAGGTTCAAATATATGTGCATGAATTTAAACATATTTTAATTAATTTGGATAGTCAAAAGCCATTGCTAGATGTTACTATTCGGTTTGTGAATATTCTTATAAGGCTAAATTAGAATGGTTTCTAATTAAGTAAAAATTAGATTAAGCATGCATGCAAGGATTTACTTCAACATGCAATGCCAGTCTTGTAGAAAGACCCAAAGAGCGAAGAAGATCTCATTAGATCAGAATAAGAAAAACGCTATTATATGAGGAGGGTAAACAACCGCTCAAAAATTATGGAAAACCAAAGAAGGTTCAGACGCCTCATATCCCCCACCATGGCCCAAAGCACGAACAATAAAAAAAATCTACCAAGATTGTTAGCATCTCCTCCTCCTTCCATGGTAGAGCTTCCATACCAAGCCCAAGATCCACCGAAATGAACTAAGCCGACATAGAACACCACACCATAAATCAATACCGGAATTAATTAGAAGAGGCTAGATGATGGAATCATCATAGATCCGACAAAAAGCGCCAAAGAGAGACCCTAAAACAACTATGGAACGAAAAGCAAAACCTAGCAAATGCAAGGAAAATGTAGAACTAGCCAAAAAGACTAGGGGAAAACCTCTCCACAGAATTTCAACTTTCAGTCTCCAAATAAATTGACTGCATCCTAATTATCTGTTATGACTTAAATATGTTTTGATGTTGCAGTTCTAATGGCACAAAATTGGGTGTTTCTGTTGTCGTGACTTTTTAGCAACGTACAAAGAACTGGAGAGGCCAACAACTAATTAGGTCACATGAAGAACTAGAGAAGCATTGTATTTATATTTGCGCTGTGCATTGCTCACAGTAAGAGTAGTGTGCAATACCAGTACCAATCTAGCTAGCGTGGCTCTACCATCATATGCATGGATCTGTCTAAACTAGTCTCTCTAACAACAAGAGAAGAACTTGTATGGAGAGTGCTGGGCATTGCACACAGTTACAGTGGCTTTTCTGTGTCAATTATGCAATGATATGTGGAGAAAATTAACAAATTATTGTATTATTAGTATAAGAAGCCATCATGAGTCCATGACGGTGTAGCCGGATCATAAGTCTTTTTCCCCTAACAAATCCACGAAAGCCTAGCTCAGCATGATGCACATTCGCCCGCAAAGTTGCACACACCTGCTAATTCACAGTTACACTGTAATATTCAGCTCTAGTAGTACTAGCTATAGTAGTCCAGCACACCACTGCGCCTAGACCAGATCCCAATGAGAATGCTGGCTACTGATGCCTATACCGGCCCTACCCCCTTCTCCCATGCTTCGGATGTAGTGTACGTGTACGTGAGAGACGCCTGAATCCAGCTTCCTCTATATACCACATGAAGAACAATACATCACTGAACACCCTAAAAATTAATTATAATATGACGAATATAGGAGGCTTGGAGTTGCACTAGAATGCAGGCCTCATCCATGCAACTCCAACCCATCAAATAATGTTTGATTTACATCTTCTCCTTACAATTTATATTCACACACACGCCCACACACATGTATTATCACAGCACCAAGAATAAGTGAACCTTCTTATGTACAGTCACGGCTGCTGGATTTTTATAGCAACTCAAGTATCATGGCAGTGGCGGAGGCCATACGTGCTGGGTTGGTGGCCTGTGTGGAGTGGGGTTTCGATATGGTGGAGGAAAAGACATACACAAGGGCGGTGATAGATATGTTAACGTCAGCGGGACTACGGAGATGTGGGTGGAAAGCATTGTCCATGACATTCGTTTTCTAGCTAGCTTCCCTTTTGAGGTCCGTTGCACTTAGGTTCTATCCTCAGAAGTGTATAAAGTCGCCCCTAAGGTGGCTGCTTATGTTTTTAAAGAGAGTGGTGTGTTTCACTGGGATAATTGGAAGCCAATTTGGCTCTTTAATATCCTAGTTGTTGATGTTAATGTTTTGATTCGTATTTAATCATTAATAAATCAGTTTATCGTTTGGAAAAAAAATATCGCGGTAATATAAAAGTATTATAGTGTAATATAAACATTATCAACCCTGATATTAATCAATGTAATTTAAGATTGTCATCGCTCCTCCATTTTCTGCTCGGCACTCAATAGCCAGAATACAAAGTATAGGTGTATCTCACATGTTTATATATATAGTATGTATCATAATGCTTATAAACATACATATATATACCCATAATTTTCTTGTTTTTTTTTAATTATCGTCATTGGAAATAAACATTTACACTTTGAATTGTACACAATGTAACTTTTGATGAAACAAAGAAGTGATGTTGAGGAACTTAGAAAATAATACAGGGATCGGGATCCCTAATCATCACTTGATCTCCAATTAACTTGTTCTTCATTTGTAGGAACTCTGAACTACTTGAAATCATAAGGAGAATAAAAGACGACGTTCACAAAAGGAAAAAGAAGATTCACCCATACGATTTACTTTGAAACCCTAATTAGTAATTAATTAATCACCTTCACCAATGCATGCTGTAGTATAGTACTCATATATTAATTAATCCAAACACAGTTCTAAGGCTATCGATATCACATATTATAGAGTAATGCTAGGAAGACCGACTATTTAGATCAAATTTGTAAACTATATAACGTGGTTAGTGATGATTAATTGGATTATTACTCAATTGTTGATTAACGTGCTTATTTTTTTTATTGGTGAAACAATACTGGTTTGCAAATTTAGTCTAAAAAGTTGGTCTACTTAGCATTACTCTTATATATACAGTGACATAAACAAAAGGCAGTTGTGAATTTAATACTTTAATCAAAAACCCTGAAGAGAAACAATGAAACATATTATATATATAAGTCATAACATTAAAAGAAAAAATCAAGTATATATAAGCTTAATGAGCTAGAACATTAAGCAATTAGATTACTAGACCTAGAACTTATTAAGGGGCAAGCTAGCTAGCTAGCTAGATAAATCATTCATTAGAGTAGCTAGCTAATAGCATAACTAAATAAGAAGTTTATCGATGGAACTATTATGGATCTATATGTAAGAATATCCATGGTAATCAGTACTATAAATATGTACTGATATAATTGGATTACTTGAACAGATTGTTGTAGTCCGGCCGGGTTGGCTCTGATATTGGATTCCAGTCCCATAGGCGGTCAGAGAAAGCAGTCGGAAGTGTGTTGGAGGGGAGCTGCTGCTGCTGTGGCTGTATAGTTGATAGTGCTGCCGCTGCTGAAGGGAAATTTGTTGAGAACAGGTTGCTGGGTTGGGGATGATGATGATGATGATCATAGTATTGCACTAGATGATGATTTACATATTGTTGATGTTGGTGATGATTGGAAGCAGCCTGCTGCTGTACGTTTACAGGTTGGTAATTCAAAAGTCTATGAAGATCATCAATCGCATTCATATTGGAAGACAAAACAGAAGAAGAACCACTCGTGAAGAGTGCTGCACATGAATTGCCAGTACTCGAGATCACCGAAGAGCAATTAGCAGCAGATTGCTTTGAGTTTGCTGAGTGATGCGAGAAAGCAGCCATCCCTTCTTCCTGATCCACAGGATGAGTTGGGGCACCCGGTTGTCCAAGTGCGGCAGCGGTACTACTCTCAATGTTGTGGTGCTGGTGGTGGCCCTGAGGGTACGCTTTATGCTTGGAAAGCCGCAAAACTGTTGTCACATCAGAATTTCTGCTGCTACCTTCAGTTTCGATGTTCATCTTTTGATCCATCTGATGTTCATGATCATGATGAATCTGCTGCGATTGGCCTTCATTAAAAGCTTGGAGTTTTTCAATCACACTATCCACTGTGTTGATATTATTGGTGTGCTGCTTTTTATTGTCTGACCTGGTCGTCGATTGAGCCACTAGTACTGATGATCTAGATGTGGATGCCCTGGATGCTGGGAGACAACGAGGGAGTGATGGGTGGTCTTCAACTCCGGCTCTCTTGTATACTCGGCAAAGTGATATTTCTCCCTGAAATTTAAATTAATGCAAATTATACGTCGATCCACCCAAAGCAGAATCGAAGGATCAATCCATATATTGAATAATTAGGAAGCGATATTGGTTTATTTGGAGAAAATACATGATGTATATCAAACTAGATCGTGCATGCTAAAATAATTAATTTATATAACAAATAAGGGAAGTGATGATCAATTTTGAGCTGTGTTCTTAGAAATTTTCTTATCTTGTTTCTTTGCTTATAAGTTGTACCTCTTATGCCCAATTATCTGTGGTGTATATAAAAAAGAATTGGAATAAACTCAAGATCTATAATTTGGAGACTGAAAACTAGCTAATTATATTAATTAAGCTAGGCATATATATATATATATATATATATATATATTGAGTAAACTGATCAAAGTTTAGGCTTAGTGAAGACAATATCTCTATGTAGGTAGGTATCTCTCATATATGTTGAAGATTGTGAGTTGAGGTATAACAAGGAGCAATCCTACTCGCTCACCATCAGTACTCGAGAAGTCCCAAAGAGTCTGTAGGTAAATCGAGAAAGAAGTCCCAAAGAGTAATCATTTCCAGATGAGTTTGGAAATTTAGTTTTAATCTATATGTATATATGTACCTTTTGATATCGTTCAGTTTCATGATGCGGCAAGCGATATTCGTTCATGATCCAACTAGTTCGAATGCCTTTGGGAGCTTTCCCGGAGTAAAAGACTAGGGTTTTCTTGAGGCCGATTGAGCGGAAGTTTTCGCTTCGAATCATGCGGTCGGCTCCAGTTGCCTTCCAATACCCAGAAGTAGTTACCCGGTTTGGCCTATCGCCGTTGCGGTACTTGCGGTCTCTTGGCACATAAAAGAACCATTCCTTCTCCCCAATTGCTGCCATAGCTGTACACAATCATTCATACAATTTAAATTACTGCAATAGCTGCACACAATCATTCATACAAGTTAAGATAAAATAAAATTATCTTAAAGAAGGTCAAGGTGTTGAATTTCACATATATATACTGCTTTGTATATGGCGAATCCAAATGACTATTTGGATCGATCTGTGTGTGGTTTATACCTGGAAGTTCCCAAGGGTCATAGCGATAAAGATCGAGAAAAGTAATGAGTTCAACATTGAAGCGCTTGCCCTCAACCTTACGGCGAAGGTAGAACTCTACAAGTTCCTCCTCAGTAGGGTGGAAGCGAAAGCCCGGCATCACCATGTCGTGCTCATGCTCATCAACATACTCATCATGCTCATGCTCATGATCATGGTCGGCCTTGTTGGAGTCGTCGTGGCTCATTGTTGATGATGATGAGGTTGTTGTTGTTTCTGCAACTGCCATAAACTGATTAGAAACTAACTAACTAATAAAAGCTAGCCAGTTCGTAACTAATTAAAGCAAGCTAATTCGTCAAGCACTCAGTACTAGTAATTCCTCCTATACCTAGATTGTGCATCCCGCTGCCCTCTTTATACCAAAAACTTTTGTACGAGTTATTAACTGGTATATGCAACGGCGCGCAAGTGGTAGGCGAGATAAGAGAGGTTAATATGTCATTCCATACCCTTAATTAAAAGTTTCTCTCTCTTTCTTTCTCTGTCTCTCTCTCTCTCTCTCCAGTTTAACAGGGTGAGGAAAGTAACAAGGAGGGAAATAAACTAGAGAGAGAAGCAGAAGAAGAAGAAGAAGGAAAAAGAGCGGAGTTAATAGAAATATCTACAAAGCTTTGAGGCCCTACATAGAAGATGTATGCGCTAAGGTGTTTAAGATGAGAAAGTGACATTTCAAAAACAAGACAGGGTGGCCACAGTCCCCTTAGCGGTGCCCCTGGACTTTTCCTTCATCGTCATTAGAAAATTGATTTTATATTTATAATTCCTTTCTTTTCTTATTATAATCTTCAACAAGCTGAGAGATTTGAGAGATTTTTTAATACTTACAATACAATACACCATATATTATTATATAAATAAAGAATTTTTTTTTTAAAAGTATTTCTTTATATATGATGTACCGTCCCGTGTTTGTTACACTCTGAACAATCTCTCTAAAGCTAGGCCTATTTTTCACTCTGCACTTAAACATGCTCAAAGCGTAATGATGCGATGCTAGGGCGGTTTTACAAACAGGATCCTCTTCGGATTTTTTTGGTGAGGATTATGGGGATCTGTGAATCGTGTTCATTCATCGTACGATTAGTTTTTATCAAATACTATTTGTATTTAATTTTAAATAAAAATATTTAAAATGATTTCTGATGCACGATGTACAATGAACGAACACGATTCACGAATCCTCAAAATCCTCGCAAAGAGGATCCGGATTCACGGTTTTATTCTCTATACATAGTGTCACGGTTGATGTGTATAAGAAAGTTACTGACTGACGTAACTAACATGGTTATTTATATATATTCAAGATTACTGATTATTGAAAGGCCTACAACAAAAAATCAATGCAGCACAAGATTTTAATGTGAATTTTTTTTATCCTACTCAGGAATAATAATCTAATTTACTTAATAAGGTCCAGAATGCAATATCTTCATGAATCATGCCAATGTTTTCCTGTCAAGGCCACGTAAAAAGTTGTAACCAGGATGTGATAATCTTTTTATGCCCATCATGACCCGCCACTAACATTATATATAAATACATTATTTTATTGTATTTTTGATGCGTTGTCACACAAAAAATCGAATGAGGATTCTCTTCAGATCCTCTTTGTGAGGATCCTAATAATCTTTTTTGTGAGGATCTTGAGGATCCTCCAATCACATCTGTTTATCGTATATCATATATCGTGAGGTCAGAAATCATTATAAATCTTTTTATTTAAAATTAAATATAAATAATACCTAATGAAAATTGGCCGCAATGTACGATGAACAGAATCCTCACAAAGAGGATCCTCATTCCAAAAAATTAATTCTCACATCAAGAATTGGTCAAGTCATTATACTGGAACTAATATCAATTTTTTTGAGAGTCTAGTCAATATTTAGTCATAGAGTTAACGCCAATATTTTTGAAGATGCGGTCATCTAGTAGCCTTAATTTGGAGCTAGCACAACTTTTTCAAAAGTCCAACTTAAGGAGATAAATTCAAACCCAGTAATTCAAGCTCATTCGTATCAAAGAAATAATTTGATCTGATACCATATAAATTTAGGCCCATCATTGTCTATCAATAACATCGTCGATGTTGTCTCAACTTAACCACATATTGCTAGGTGTTGGATTTTATCACAAAAGATATTAAGTATAAAATTTTCATTTATAAATTGCATATTATGTTTGTAACATCCCACATCGCCCAGGGGAGTGATCCTTAAATGTATATTCTCATCCCTACCTAGAATAAGGCCTTTTGGAAGCTCACTGACTTCGGGTTCCATTGGAACTTCGAAGTTAAGCGAGAAGGGGGCTAAAGCAATCCCATGATGGGTGACCCACTGGGAAGTTGCTCGTGAGTTCCCAAAAACAAAACTGTGAAGGAATGGTAAGCCCAAAGCGGACAATATCGTGCTACGGTGGTGGAGCGGGCTCGGGAAGTGATCCGCCTCGGGCCGAGATGTGACAATTTGGTATCAGAGTCTAACCCTGGTCATGTGTGTGCCGACGAGGACGTCGAGCCCCTAAGGGGGGTGGATTGTAACATCCCACATCGCCTAGGGGAGTGATCCTTAAATGTATATTCCTATCCCTACCTAGCACGAGGCCTTTTGGGAGCTCATTGGCTTCGGGTTCCATCGAAACTTCGAAGTTAAACGAGAAGGGGGCTAGAGCAATCCCATGATAGGTGACCCACTGGGAAGTTGCTCGTAAGTTCCCAAAAACAAAACCGCCAGGGGAGTGATCCTTAAATGTATATTCTCATCCCTACCTAGCACGAGGCCTTTTGGGAGCTCACTGACTTCGGGTTCCATCGGAACTTCGAAGTTAAGCGAGAAGGGGGCTAGAGCAATCCCATGATGGGTGACCCACTGGGAAGTTGCTCGTGAGTTCCCAAAAACAAAACCGTGAGGGAATGGTAAGCCCAAAATAGACAATATCGTGTTACGGTGGTGGAGCGGGCCCTGGAAGTGATCCGCCCCGGGTCGGGATGTGACAATTTGGTATCAGAGCTTAACCCTGGTCGCGTGTGTGCCGACGATGACGTCGGGCCCCTAAGGAGGGTGGATTGTAACATCCCACATCACCTAGGGGAGTAATCCTTAAATGTATATTCCCATCCCTACCTAGCATGAGGCCTTTTGGGAGTTCACTGGCTTCGGGTTCCATCGGAACTTCGAAGTTAAGCGAGAAGGGGGCTAGAGCAATCCCATGATAGGTAACCCACTGGGAAGTTGCTCGTGAGTTCCCAAAAACAAAACCGTGAGGGAATGGTAAGCCCAAAGCGGACAATATCGTGTTACGGTGGTGGAGCGGGCCCGAGAAGTGATCCGCCTCGGGCCGGGATGTGACAATGTTGTTATATTTTCGACTCTATTCTTTAACAGAAATTAAGTAACAAATATTATAGTTTTGTAAAAAACTTGGTGTTCCTTTTTTAGACCATCTCCAACTCTTGGGTTAAAACCTAATATTTTTAACCTAGAAATTTAGGTTTTAACCCAAAAATAGTTTTTTCTATAGAATTATAGGTTTTAACCCAGAAATAGTTTTTCTGCTCTAACTGTTATGGGTTAAATTTTTAGCTTGAAATTATTAAAGAATGAATTTAAGATAATTTTTTTTCTTAAAGTAACTTTTTTATTAAAAAAAAAATTATGTAGAATATCCTAATTTAATTTTAAGAACATTTGAACTTAAAAATATTTAGATTTGGATAATTATTGAAAAATCACTAAACTGACATCATGAAACTCGTGGAACACTATTAAAAAATATGAAACACATGAAAGAATTTTTTTTTAATTACTTTAGTCGTTGAGTTTAAATTTGGACCATTAGATTCTCTCTTTATATACTGTTGGATTCAATGAATTGATAAATATAAAACTAAAAAATACACATATATGATGGCTCAGCCCACTAACCAATAGGGGAATCATAGTCTAAATTTACCCAAGAAATGGGTTTTGGGTCAAAACTCATATTTGCCCCAAGGGTTGAAGTAAGTTGGGGTGAGTTTAGAACCTAAAATTTGAGTTTTACTCCAAGGGTTGGAGTAGGTTCTACAAATGTTAATTGCTTGTATGAAAATTTCATGACACTATTCGGCTAGCCACAATTTCGATTAATCAATAATTGTTAAAAAAAATCAAAAAATTTGTTAGGCGGTGCCTAGACGGGCACTTGACAAGCTAATCGGGCATGTGTTTGTCTCATCTATTTTATTATATAAAAAGTGAGTTAATGAATCAATTTTTCTTTGGGTTTCTTTTTCTCTTCTTCCCAGCCTCTCTCTCTCCTCACTCTTTTTTCTCTCATTCACAACCTATCTCTCTTAGTAATCAGCTTTTTTTAATTTTCTAATTAATATACAAATTCTTTATATATCCTACTATTTTTTTTTTTTGTTTCCCAATACAACTATAATTTTTTGTTTGAAATATAAGTAGACATTTATTTATGGATAATTTTGTATAAAATCCGTGGATGCAAATTTTCACCTTCTTCCTCTCGGACGAAAATGCACTTGCAAAAAAATTAACACCTTAGGTCAAGGCTAAGAGTCTCACGCACCCATGATTAATGGGGGGGTGCTTTGGGTGAAGAACCTCCAATGCCAAAGTTAGAATTTGAGGAAAAAGTGTTTAGATAAATTTAGAGAATTTTGCAAGAGAGTTGGAATTAGGTTTTTGGGAGAAATGTGAGCTATTTATAGGGGTGTGGCCGCTATTTGGAGAAAAGGGGTACAACCACTTATGGTGGTTTTTGGGTGTAATTGCAAGATATTATGTCAAAATAATATCTTGCAATCAATTAGAAAATTAATTAATTAAGAAATTAATCAATTAATTTAGGTAATTAATCCTATTTTGAATGAATAATTTGTGGGTAGGATTTGATGAGGATGAATGAAATAGGTTTTGAATAAATACCTATTTTGATCACATTTGACCTTGATTGAGTTGTGATTGTTTGTTGCTTGTGCGTAGGAGTTCCGGTGTTCCTCGAGGGTAATTTTGTCTTTTTAACCCAATAATTCAAGCGTCGCCTTCATATTTTTCTCGATTATTTTTGGCTCCACAAAATCAATTAAAAGTCACAATATTACAATATCTCAACAATATTTATATTAATTATAAATAGGTCAATCATGTATTGTGATACCTAAATGCCTTTAAAATAAACAAAAATTACAAAATCTACCACTACAAATGGCACCCACCTCAACTAACACTCGTTTCTCATAGTTTTTATATTTTGGAATAAGTCAATACGGATCAGACACTACAGTGATTCTGTTTTCTACATTTAGATTCAAACATTGTGTTGCATTGTCCATTTTCTGATTTCATTTTCCATCACTCACACGCCTCCATGTCCTTTTTTACATTTGGATTCAGACACTACAATGCAATGTCTGTTTCCTGGTTCAGTCTTTTACTGTTGGATTCAAACGTTGCGTTTCAGTGTTCATTTCCTAGTGTGTTTTTTTTCTTTCTTTCTTTCCATCACTTACACACCTCCTACACTTCATACCTCGCGCAACTCTTGATTTTTACATCTGAAT